CATTACAAGTGGTTGAGAGCCAGCATGTGGTTGCTAGGAATTGAACTCAGGATCTTTGGAAGATCCATTGAGCAGTCTCTCCCGTGCCCCTGTTTGGTATTTTTAGACTGAAGTATATCTATATCGCTATCTGTCATGGACATGGCAAACAGGATTTCATCACAGTTAATAGAAATTGCTCAGAATATAATACACTAGGACTATTCATTAAAAGAAAGAATCCAGAGCCACATGGTAGAGTGAGAACATTGTCATACATGAACACTGCCTTGAGTTATTTAAACTCCAATCACAATTTAGCTATCAAATTTAGCTATAATTTTGAAGCAGTCACTTAAAATCCTGAACTCATTTGCTGGTTGCTAGACAGAAATTACAACAATAAACAAAAACAAGGTGTTTCCTGCTTATTTGTCAGAAATGCAAAAATGAACACCAATAGAAACACATACTAAATATTAAGTGGGAAAAAATACCTAAATGTGTATGTACTGTTACTCAAAACAGGAATGAAATATGATAAATATGTATCAACAGGCCACCTACTTATGCACAAATCAGCCAAGACCTTTAGAGGCTATTAAATAGCTATTAAAAATACTACTTATTTGCATACAGATATACTAAATTGGGCAAAGCAAGACTACTAAGTAACCTCTGACTATCCCACATGCCCTTGAGCTCATGAAATCTATAATGAACCTACAATCTTTATCGAAAATTTTTAAAAACTATGCAAAAGAGGATCATAGTGTAAAATAACCCTCTACATTATTGTCTGCATGTTTCTTAGTTGAAATCTTGCATTGAAGAATAGTAGAATTCTATGCTTGAAATGTTAACAGGGATAGAGAAAAAAAAAGGACATTTGATCCAGCAGAACTATCCTTTGGATAGGAGGCACAAATAAAGATGCTTCCAAATAACAGTTGAGAAGCTTTATCCCCACTAAACCTGTACTAAATGCTAAAGGGAGCTCTTTGTAAGATAACAGGGACACACGCATGTTACTGATGAAGGTGATACCTATAGTCTAGAATATTGAATGGTATATAATCATCTGTAACTTTACAACAAAAGTTGAAATGTAAAAGTATTTAAATGAGTACAGATGGAACAACTTACTAGTGAACACACAGTATGAAAAAACATGAATTGTAGCATTAAAACATAAAATGGGAGAGCACAGTTTTTTATGAAATCAAATTATTATCAACTTAAAACAGACTTTTCATAACTAGCATGTTTTAAGTAAGCTGTAGAGTAATCACATGTGTTAAAACAATAGAAAATATGGTAGAAACAAAAGGAAAAATAAAGGACTCAAGATACATCTATACTGGAAAACATCAAACCACAAAGAAATATTTTTAAGAGGAAATGATAGTAGTGAAGGATCCACAGAGCAGCCAGAAAACCAATGACAAAATGTCAGTAATAAATACTTGTTATGGTGTGGATTTGATGTGGTCATCAAGTCTCATGTGTTGAATGTTGGTTGGCAGGTCATAGGATTATTTTGAGAAGTGGTGGAAATTTTAGGAGGTGGGTCATAGGGGAGGTGGTAGCTCCCTCAGCACACAGCCTTCAAAGTTTATACCTGGTCTCCAGACCCTTCTTCTCTTCCTAATCCTTTACACTATGATGCCATCTGCTTTGTCCTTCCTTTCTGGCCTGCCATGATTAACATAAATCACTGAAAACATGGATTAAACAAACCCTTCCACTTCTTGTTTCTCTTCTGGATGTGGTCATAGCAACATGAATCCTTTTTGGCTCCCAAAAAGTGTGATCATTACTGTGACTAAATCTAACCATGTTAAGTATTTGGAACTGGATTGCAGGAGGAATTTGGACTAACTCTACTAGAGAAATCTAGAATGTTGTGGGTTGAACTCAGTGAATAGTCTTAGTGGGAGTTTAGAAAACCAGAATATCAACAAAATGTGGACAGGGAAGCCAGGCTCATTGGTTTTCATTTGGAAACATAGACTATCTTGAGAATTGGACTCCAGGCCATTGTGTGTTACATCTTGGCAAAAACCCTATATTTTGTCTATGTCCTGAGAGTGTGTAGAAAGCTTTTAAAGGCAGAAATACAACTTAATCTAGAAGAAATTTTAGATGGCCTAGTAGTCAGACTTTGTCATGGTTATTGCTAGGTGCCTTTACTCGGGTGTATAGTGAGAACCAAGTGGGAAAAGCAGAGTAGCAAAACTTGAAAAAAAAAACTTGAAGTTTGGTTTAAAAGTCTCTTGCAAGGTTGAGGCTAAGGCATTAACATTGTCAAAAAGAAGTCAAGTATTTTCCATATGGGTACTAGCAAAGACTCTTTGAGAGAATGTCAGGAATTACCCAGAAGCCACTCAACTCAAGCACATGAAGTCAATAAACTCTTTTTGGGAAAAAAAATTCACTTAACAAGAGCATACCTCTAGGGAATCTTAATTGCTAAAATACCTGTCTTAGTTAGGGTTTCTATTGTGATGAAACACCACAACCAAAATGTAAGTTGAGGGGGAGGTTTATTTGGCTTATACTTCAGCATTGCTGTTCATCACTAAAGGAAGTCAGGACAGGAACTCAAACACTGAAGGATGTTGGAGGTAGGAGTTGATTCAGAGGCCATCTAAGTGAAATATTTACTGGCTTGCTTCCCATAGCTATCTCAACCCACTTTCTTATAGAACCCAGGACCAGCAGTCCAGAGATGGCACCACTCACCATGGCTGGGCCCTTTCCAATTGATCACTAAATGAGAAAATTCCCTACATCTACATCTTAAAGAGGCATATCCTCAACTGAGGCTCCTTCCTCTGATGACTCTAACTTGTGTCAAGTTGACACACAAAACCACCCAGTACAACACCATATGCTTGATAATGTTTCTCCGGAATCCGTTTCACTATGATATGTCCCCTGATCATATCCAGAGGCCATTGCAGCCAAGGTGCTAGTCTGGTAACTTCTGAAGCTGAAAACAAGTGGTGTCATGGTGTCATAGTGAGCTTTAGCTGTCAATTTGACACAAGCTTAGAGTCACATGGAAAAGGAAACCTCAACTGAAGAAGTACATAAATCAGAGTCATCTGTGGTTATGTCTATGGGAGTGTTTTTTAATTAATGTTGATTTGAGAGGGCCTAGCCAATTTTAAGTTGTACCACCCCTGTGTAGGTAGTCCTGAATTATATAATAAAGCAAGTTGAGCAAGCCATGGAGGGCAAGAAAATAGGCATATACTTTCTAAGTGGTCTCTGCTTTAGCTCCTGCCTCCAAGAACCTGCTTAAGTGCCTGTCCTGGCTTTCCTCAGAGATGAACTGTGTCATATGTTGTGGCATCTTGCCTTGCCATTGAACTTTTAGTGATGGCCACACCCCTTGGAAGTGGTTTCAAGTGCAGGTGTGACCCGTTATAATGTAGAGGAGGGGATGGTTGTAGAGAGCATCAGAGAGCAAGAAGACCTCAGAGGTTATTTACCTTTATCTGTGTAAGTCCTTCCCTAATAAACACCTATTTATCATTTACCTTGGATCTGATGAACTCATTTATAGCCCAACTTCAGTGTTAAAATTAAATAAACCCTTTTCTTTAAAATTATTTGGTATATAAATGGTTTTAATTTCCAAATCAAATAATATAGGGTGCACTAATAAATAAAATACAAAGCTCAACTATAAGCTTCCTACAACAAATTAATTTCAGCTTCAAGAACACCCATAGGCTGAAAGAGAAAGGAAGCAAAAGATGTTCCATACAAATGGAAACAAAAGCAGAGCAAGAGATAGCTGCTATACTTCTGTTAGAAAAAAAAATATTTATCAAATGTGTCATGAGAAGCAAATTATAGGCTGGTGATCCTTTGCTCTAGGTCTAAAATCCATATATGAGTTAGTACATACCATGTTCCTCTTTTTGTGACTAGGTTACCTCATTCAGGATAGTTTCTTCAAGTGCCATCCACTTGCCTGCGAATTTCAAGATTCCGTTGTTTTTTTCTTTTCCACAGAGTAGTATTCCATTATGTAGATGTGCCACATCTTCTTTATCCATTCTTCAGTTGAGGGGCATCTACATTGCTTCCAGGTTCTTGCTATTACAAATAGTGCTGCTATGAACATAGTTGAACAGATGTCTTTGTTGCATGGATGTGGATCATTTGGGTATATGCCTAAGTGGGGGACTGCTGGGTCCTGTGGTAAACTAATTCCCATTTTCCTGAGGAACCGCCATACTGATCTCCAAAATTGCTGTAAGAGTTTGCACTCCCACCAGCAGTGGAGGAGTGTACCCCTTTCTCCACATCCTCTCCAGCATAAGTTGTCATTGGTGTTTCTAATGTTAGCCATTCTGGCAGAAGAAAATGGTATCTCAGAGTTATTTTGATTTGCATTTCCCTGATAGCTAAGGATTGAGCACTTTCTTAAGTGTCTTTCAGCCTTTTTGATTTCCTCTATTGAGAATTCTTTCTTCAGTTCTGTACCCCATTTTTTTAATAGGGTTATTTGGTGTTTTGTTGACAAGTTTCTTGAGTTCTTTGTATATTTTGGAGATCAGCCCTTTGTCAGATGTAGGATTGGTGAAGATCTTTTCCCAGTCTGTGGGCTGCCATTTGATCTTGTCAGCTGTGTCCTTTGCCTTACAGAAGCTTCTAAGTTTGATGAGGTCCCATTTGTTAATTGTTGATCTCAGTCTGTGCTACTGGAGTTATGTTCAGGAAGCAGTCTCCTACACCAATAAGAGACATTATATAATGAAAAACAAGAGGCTCTACACACAACATGATAGGACCAAAACATATAAAGCAGATGATAGATGATCAAAGATATAAAAAGCAAGACAGTAATAAAGTGATTGTCATCCCTGTGCTCAACAAGGCACCGATGGCCCAGCAACAAACTCAGTAAGGAGATGCTCGACTTGAACTGTACTTTAGACTAGAGGCCTGGATGATTGACACATGGCCTGACTGACACATTAGACCAGAGACTGACTGACATTTTAGACAAAGAGGCCTGACTGACACTTTAAACTAGAGGGTTGACTGACAATAGAGGGAAAGTAATGAACATCAAAGTAGAAATAAAAACTAAAAGTTGCTCCAGACAGCATGATGCAGTCAGCTCCATCTAGGACTGCATTGGCCACATCACTGCCCTCAGCACGGGTGGGGCAAGGTTTCTTGATCATGCTCTCCAGCATCTGAATGGCACAGATGACAGGCTTCCCAGCTCGGTTGCATTGTCCAGTCATCATCTTCTGAGCTAAGAAGACCTTCTCTGCAGGAATCTCAATGCCCAGGTCACCACGAGCCACCATGATCCCATCACTGGCCTCCAAAATCTCATCAAACCTGCAGACACCTTCATGGTTCCCAATTTTGCTGATGATCTTGATGTTCTTGCCCTTCTCTCCCAGGATCTTCCTAACCTCATGCACATCAGCTGCCTTGCAGATGAAATATGCAAACACCATGTTGACATCCTGCTCCACTCCAAACTTCAGGTCCTGGATGTCCTCCTCTGACACAGCAGGGAGATCCACAGCAGCTCTGGGGAGGTTCACCCCTTCTTGCTGCCCAAGGAGCCACCATTCTCTACCTCTGTCAGCAGAAAATCAGCACCTTTCTCCTTCACCTGCAGTGAGATGAGCCCATCATCCACGAAGATCTTGCTGCCCACCTCTACCACCTTACAGATGTTCTTATAGTCCAGCCACAGGATGTTCTCGTCACACTTCTCCATGTAGGTATTGTCCAGGGTGATCTTCAAGGGGGCTCCCTTCTTCAGCTCCACTTCTGCAGTACCGCTGCCTTTGATGAGTCCAGTCCTGATTTCAGGTCCCTTTGTGTCCAGAGCCACAGCAACAGGTCGGTAGAGAATCGGGTCAGATGCGAAGCTTTCTGTGGCCATACGCACATTCTTGATAGTTTCTGCGTGATACTCATGAGTTCCATGAGAGAAATTCAGACGAGCCACATTCATTTCTGACTTGATCATCTCCTTCAGCATCTCCACTGACCGAGTACAAATAATGCCAGTGTTGCGAGCCGTGATCGGTGCGGAGTCAATGTCCAGGAGGCACGTATGTTCCAGGAAGGTATCAGCCACGGCTGCGTGGAGCTGCTGGGTCTGAATGAAGGCAGTCCCTGCTTCACTGTGTGGCTTCGCCATGGTTTCTGATGTTTTCTGTCACACTCCGAATCTTGCAGCGAAGCTTAAGACGAACGTCTGAAAGGTCCGGACGAGTCACCGGTGTGCGGCTCTTTTAAGGATATAAACTAAAATTGTGAAAAACAGACAAAAATAACTAAATGAAGTAAGAGACAGCCCAGTCGCTGCTACAGATAAAGAACTTGTAAGACTGCAGTGAACAAGAGCCTAGAAGTGCATAAAGCCCTAGAGATGTACAACCTACAAAAGTGAATCATAAAGAATACAAAACCTGAACAGATTCATTCCCAGAAAAGATCTAAAAATATCTAAAAAAGATCTCCCATTAAGAAAGCTTACAATTGTGTGTTTGCCTTGCTGAATTCTAGCAAACATTAAAGGAAAGATGAAGTAGTAACTCAGTGATAGAGTACCTATACCACATTCGCAAGGTGTTGTGTGCTATAAGCAGCACCAGAAACAAACCCAAAAACGGAAATATTAAGTAATGAAGGAAGATGAAAGCCAGGTAATTGACACATGACTTATAACGGAGGATATAAAGCTAATTGGTTTTTCTGGTTTAATTCTATCAACTATTTTTTTTTCAGGGGGGAGCTTAGGGTAAGTGTGGTGTTTTGAATGAAATATCCTCCCTTAGCCCCCTTAGCCTTAGACATTTAAATACTTGGTCCCCCAAGAAATGGTACTGTTAGGAAGGTTTAGGAATTATGCTCTTGTTGCAGGAAATATGTCACCAAAGATGGGCTTTGAGGGTTTAGGGACTTGTGAAACTGAACTTTCACACACACTGCCCCCTGCCGAGAGAGAGAGAGAGAGAGAGAGAGAGAGAGAGAGAGAGAGAGAGAGAGAGGAGAAAATGCAAATAACTGGTAGCTGAACAGAAATGTTTATCTCTCACACACACATGATGAAGCTCTTCCCTTCATCAGTCAGCAATGGGAATCTTTCAGCTCCATATAGCCTTAGGGAACACCATAGTACACACAGCCTTTCATTGATTAACATGGTTTTATTGATTAGCATGAGGTATGAGGCCAAACAGCTTAGGAGTCCTGCAAACCTCTTACTATTCTAATTTAAGTCTATAGGAGATTAGTGGCCTGAATCCTATCTTTTCTCCATAAAACAAGTGTGTGAAGGAAAGAAACCCCATAAATTAGATTCCTGGAAACTTCAGTAAGGCTCCAAGAGCAGGTAGAATTTGATAAGAAAATCTATGCAAAGATAGTGGCTCTGTCCCTTCATCTTTGCAGTCCTCCTTTTATGGTTCATATAACACATGCCAAAGCCCAAAAGACCTTCATCTGGAGCCAATACCAGTGGGCAGCTGCACGGAAGAAAGGAGCCCAGCTGAGCCATGTGCTCCACGTCCCCAGTTCTGTGCCATGGGGGCTGAAGGTGACCCAACTTTGACACTATTACAACTTCTTAAAAACCCCTTTCCCACAGAGACATTATAGTAGCTTATTAACTTTTGCAGTTTTAAAGAATTGAAACATTCTATAAACAAATATTCAAACTCATTTGGGTATAATATGTATATTTTTTAAAAAATCACCCTCAAAGTTCCAGTGTCTATAGAGTGTCCTCAAATAGATGTGTTTTATTCGCATGCCCAAGGCATGATTTTTGTGCCTTCATCTCCTGAGCTTGAGAATATAGGCAATACCATGGTTGGTTTATGTACTGTTGTGAATGGATTCCCAGATCGTTATAGTTTCTTGATTACTCAAACATGAACAACTTTATCTTCAATACCAGAGACCTGTGCCTTGACATTTCTGGCTCAGGAGGTATCAGGAAAGTACTGGCATCTTAATTCCATGAAGGAATGGAAATGACCCACCAGTGGATATTAAAGCACAAGTGAGTTTCAGGGAACCAAGAGAGAGTTGTCCTGGTGTACTCCCCTGCCTTATCCAGAATGATGATGACAGACGGTTAGATCATTGATAGCCTTATTTCAGAGCCATCCCTGAGTCCAGTACAAGGCCTCTAAATCTTCTCTAGACATATTAGATCTTTGTGAAGCTGGGCAGAGGATGAGACATCAACAGAGAGCTTGCTCACCACAGTTGTAGCCGTCCCCCACTCTGTACTTTTCTATTTGTGGCTTGTCTCTATGATTAATTAACTAAGATTGTAATCTCATTGATCAAGACTTGAATGATGTTTTCTACAATGCCTAATGTATTGATGGAGCTACCAAATGTCAAATAGCCATTTATATCAGTCATGTTCTGAGAACTTGTGCTCATCTACTGATTAGGGATGCTCTGGCACTAAGCCACCAGTCACCTGTGACCTGAGAGAATATGATCCTCTTTAGAGCAGAATCACTATCCAGTAGGCTCCAGAGGCACAGTTATCTCTGGACTGTGATGTCTCCAGTCCTTAAAATCCACAATGTGAAAAAAAAAAACACATTTAAAAATAAAAGTGCTCAAGGATTAAAACCCAGTTTTTCAACTCAAGCACACTGTTTCAGATCCTTGTGTGACTTTGTGTTTTGATGTTGGTCCATCCTCAGAACACTATTGAAGCCCATGAAACCTCCACAGTACTGTCTTAGGTTCTACTCCCCACCTAGTCAAATATGTATCCCCAGTAGTCTGCAATCCAAGGTCTTTATGTGTTTCTGCATCATCTTGAAAGCAAGTATGCTCTGACTTATGCTGTGAGGTTATTACCGACATACCTATTTTTCCATGTTAAAGCTCTGCATCGGTTATTTAGGTAGCGCCTAACTTTAAGCAAGGGCATATGGCCTCTTTTTGTAAGCCTAAGTGTTCTGGCCTATCTATTTTGGAAAACCAAACTATCAACTCTCATTGTAGGTTGCAAGTAAAGTGATACAAGATGGCAGAAAGAAATGGTTACCACTCAGCCTCTGTAGAAGCTGACTTTTCATCCCCTTAGAGAAAGAAAAATGAAACAAAGTATATTATCAGGTCAGGCAGATTAGGAATTGATTTGCCAGCCCACCTTCATAACTAATCTCAAGATTCTAGAATGCCAGACTCTAAGGTTAATACCATGAACTTTAGTAATTGTCATTACTCTCATATTGCAGGTACATTCCCTACACATCAAAGGCAATCATCATTTAGAAGGCTAGGGTGGCATGTCCTGGAAGATATCAGAATTTAATGTGTAGAGTTATATTTTAGTTCACATTTCAGCTTCAAATATTCTGGCCCTAAACTCTTCCAGGAGTTCATTAAATTTCATTAAATATCTACATCTGTTAAAAACAAAACAGAAATGTGAATTGTAGATGTACGGGCTATTTCTTAAGATGGAGACTATGAAAATATACTTCAAAGTTTTAAAAAATTCAATATTGCCATTCCACTCAGCAAATAGATGTATCTGTCCTTCTCTATGTTCATCAGTTCAAGCTAAATAATGTCTACATGTGAAATTATCATAAGGATTTTATTTAAACCTAAACTCCACATTCAACAGAGGAGAAATACTTGAATTATCTCTGACTCCCACTTCTGTAACTATTCAATGTTTCCTTTAGTAGTAAAAAAAAAAAAAAAAAAAAAAAAAAGTCTTACATTAAAACAGTCTATGAATGCCAGATGGCAAATTTTCAAAAACAGTAAGGAAACAAATCAACAAAGGACAGGAGAAATGTCTCAGCAGTTCAGAGTGCTTGCTTGATTTGCATGAGGAGATTTCAGTTCAGTCCCAAGTACCTCTGTTGGGTAGCTCACAGCCTCCTATAACTCTAGCTCCAGAGCATCTAAACCCTCTTCTGGCTCCCATATACACATACATACATGTGCACATATAGCTCACACAAACACATTTTAAAAGACAGGCAGCAAATCATAGGAAAACTACCAAACTACCAATGCCTGTTGTTACATTATGTTATAACTTAAAAAAAAAAAAAACCACCACTTTGGGGACTCTTTTGGGAAAACTGATGGTATTTGTCAGTCTTCATTTCTTTGTGATAAATAATCATTATATAAAATCTACATTTTCATCGTGTTTAGTTGTGTATCACACTGGCAGTAAGTTCATTCACACTGATGTGCACCATCACTACCATTCATCTACCTCTATAACTTCGCATCTTTCCAAACCAAAACATGGTTTTCCTTAAACACCAACCTCACAACTCCCTCCTAGCTTATATTCTGTCTCCATTAATTTGACTACTCTAAGTAACTCATGTGGACTCTTGCAAGATTCTATTTGACTTTTTATGCTATATGTCTTTGAGGTTGATCCCTGTGTCATTTCATCTCTACTTAAATGGAAAGCATTGAGTTGTGTATGGATGCTCTATTGCACTTATCTATTCATCACTGAAGGATTTTAGGGTGTTTCTGTCTTTGAGCTGCTGTAAATAATGAAGCTATGAACATGGATATAGGTAGACACATTCAAGTCTGCCTTTTACTGCATGTTCAGAAATATAATCACTACTTTATAGTAACTGCTTAATTTGCTGTTGAACCTTGCATAGAAGGTGTAGAATTTTATGTTCATAACCATTTTGGACACAGGTTCCAATTTCTCCATTTCCATGAAGTACTGGGTTTTTTCCTTTGTTTAACAATAGCATGTAGCATCTCTCATGTGACTTTGAATGGAATTCCTGGATGATCAGTGACATTAAGCATCTTTTCATGTCCATATTATGTCCTGGTGGGAAATGATTACTCAAGGTCTTTGATGGTTAATTAGGTCACTTCCTTATATAGTCCTTATATATTCTATATATTTATAATTCCTTATCAGACACATGATTTATAATTATTCTCTTACCTTTGAACTGCCTTTTGGCATGTAGAGGCTATCATTTGATAAAAGTCCTTAATATTAACAAAGTCCAATTTGCTTATTTTTATTATCTGTGACATCATTACCATATATTTTTGTGTGTGGAGTATCCCATTTTCAAATGTACCTTGTTATTACTTTTTTTTCCTATGACTGAGTGGCTAAGTGACTTCCCATGCCTCACAAAATAAACTGCTACC